ACACACACATGTTACTCTTTGATTTTCCTAGGAGCTTAGACTTGGGCAAGTAATATCATTTGGGAACAAAAAGCCTCATTATACCTATCAGGAAGAAAGGGCACAGAATCCCCTCCCTGTTATGGTCCTGAGCAGTGCATCAAAGGTGGTAGAGTACATGGTAACCGGCCAGTACATCAGGGAGGGAATTTCAGGTTTTAGTGACCATTGCCTCTGTAAGGAGATAGCATTCTTAGGAGAGACCTACCCCAGGTCAACTTTTATAGGTTCTTGCCCTATATATTCCCGGGGCCATAATTTATTTAAATTTATCAAGTATAGTTATTTGCGTTCTGTATGAAGATTTTAGCATTTTGTCTGTTTGTCTGAGGGTGCTGTCTTGTTCATTTAGCCTCAGTGTCTTATGCTTTAATAAAAATGTGCAGTAATTTTCATGGAAGGTTACTAGAAGCAACTCCCTGATGCACACTGGAAATTGCAATGGGCAAAATGGGTGTTGATATTATTTAAAAAATAGGTTCCTGCAATCTATTTTGATTTTGGAGCTACAGAATTTTAATTATTCACCAGGAAGGAAGGTCAGTTTCTACTTTTAATTGTTGCAATATCTACATGTCTTACATCAGAATCTCATTTACATGGCTGTCTGAGCTACCTTGAAAATTCCCTTTGCAATTAAAATGTTTCATCCCTGGCCTAAAAATGTCTCATTGTTTTCTCCACAGACACTTCATTTAAACCTAGATGAAGACATCCATCAGGGCTTCCAGTTGCTTCTCCAAAACCTGAACAAGCGAGACAAAAAGTACTGCCTTAGAATGGCCAACAGGCTCTTTGCAGATAATACTTGTGAATTACTTCCAGTAAGTTGTACCAGTTGAAAGATAACATTTGTATCCCAAATGCTTGTTGCTTCAGATCCAAGGGGAAGGACCCTAAAGAAATTGAGAAAAGTAAGGATTAAGTACTAGCCACTGTGTAGGTACACATCTATAAACCTGCATTTCAAAGGCTGGGACAGGGGAGGGTCATGAGTTGAGTTCCAAGACAGCCTAGGCAGCATGATAAGACTCACCAACTTAACCTTCATTAAAGACAGTAATTCTACAATGGTATCTCTAACCATTTCAAATTTCTCTGCTTGTAGTTTTATTTATTTATATCTCATAATTCACACTTGCAAAGGCCTACTATCTGAAGATGTTTGTTTTATAAAGCAGTATCTACACTCACTTAATTTCGTTTTATTAATACCACAATAACCAGAAGGAGGGAAAGCTTTCTGATATCTTATATTTCAATGTCACCTTTCTGAATATTTTCTCTCCAAAGACCTTTAAGGAGTCCTGTCTTAAATCGTATCACTCGAAGATGAAACAGCTCTCCTTTGCTGAAGCTCCAGAGGAGTCCAGGAAACACATAAACACATGGGTCTCTAAAAAGACTAAAGGTCAGAAATTCAAGTTCCTTCATATACTACATTCTTGTCCTTTCTATGCACCCGTCTTTCTTCTTCCTTCCCTCATCTTTCTTTAATTTCCCTTCTTTCCACCATGGTTTAATCTCACCATTATTTCAGAATCAAATTGATGCAGACTATCTAGGCCACAAGGTATAATTTAGAGCTCAGTGAGTTCATGGAGGTTCTACTCAGACACATACATTTTAAAACCAGAGATTGCTTGTGTATTTTGAGTAGGACAGAGGGGCTGATGTACATGTCATAAGAACTCATGGGTCTAACTATAAGTGTAACACTACCTTTGAAGACATGGATGATCTGCAGTGCTCCAGGACATGTGACTCCATCATTCCTGAAATAGTGAATCATGGGTAGACCTTCACCATAATCTAGCCCAGGGAATGCTACTAACTAAAGTCCTTGATATCTCAGCTCTCACCACATTTACCTCTGAAGAGGACCCCTGTTTTTGCTTCCACAGTTCCTGTAACCATTCCCTTACTTACATTTGAGGACACTAGACTTGATTTGCATTAATGTCACTCTGTAAGAACTGCTCAGTTACATTAAACTAAGAGAGCCTTCAATTTGGGGTTGAACCTTATATGTTTTGATGTCAGATGTGACAGGTTCCAAAACTGGTCTTTGAGATCATTGAGATCATTTTTATCTGAACCTTTCAGATGTCTCTGCATCACCTAGTATACCATACTTCTTCTAAAACACAGACAGTAAACATGAGAATTTTTTTTTGAATTCATCAATTATTTGCCTATTTCATATTGGATTCTTGTACGTGCCCTTTTGAGATCAGATGATGACCAAAGCTACTTGGTTCCTATGTCAGCTAAAAGTGGTAGGTGGAGTGATATGAACAAACCAGATTCCATCACCAGCAAGGAGTGAAGACAAATAGACAAAAGCAGTGTTGCGTCTCTCTCAGACCATCATATATGGCAGCACATGAAGGATGATGTCCACCCTGGAGGTCTTCCTCTCCATTACTTACCCCTTCTGGGAAATGCGCTCATAGATTCACACAGAGACTTGCCTCCTAGCAGATTCTAGACTCAATCAATTTAGGAACTAACATTAGCCAGACCAGGGGGTTACCATGGTTCCCTCCCTACCCCTCCAACATTTTCGCTTACTTTGTTCTTCATCTTGGAGTCTCTTTTTCTGCTTTGTCCAAACCTGATTTCCTTGAGAGACTTACAAGTAATGTTCTTCCAATGTATATGAACTCATGTCAAACATGGCTGCTAGTTACTTGTTTTGATTTATTATTTAATATGATTAACAATTTAAGCAAACTTGAAATTGTGATTCTTTGATCTGCTCAAATGTCATATCAGTTTATGTTACACACACACACACACACACACACATATATATATATATACATACATACATATATATACATATGTATATATACATATGTATATATATACACATATATACATATATATATACTTGTGTGTGTGTGTGTGTGTGTGTATGTATGTATGAAAACTGAATGAAGTTTCTGCTTTTTCCAAAGGCAAAATTCCAGATATATTATCAGAAGACTCACTTGGTGCAGAGACCAAGCTGATTCTAGTCAATGCCTTATATTTCAAAGGAAAGTGGTGTAACTTCTTTGACAAAGACTACACCAAGAAAATGCCCTTTAAGATAAACAAGGTAAGGATCAGTATCCTAAACTTCTTGCCAGGGTGATGAAGAAGCTGATTGGAGAACTTTAATTGCAAATGTGTAACTGAGAGCATGGTAGACACTGCATATCCTGTATAGGGTGCTATCCATGATCTTCAGCCTGAAAAGAAGTCAGGAAAGCACAGAAAACCATTTGAGACTTGTGTATCTGAAAGCAAGGTTAAATATCATAAAAAGAAATTATAGGAACAAAAAGTATTTCCTGTCTTTGTAATTGTATATTCTGTTAAGGGCTCATACAGCTTTTGATCATTTCTCTTAATACCATAGTAGAAATTGATTTTTATTTAAGTTCAAGAATGCTAAAACAGTGCTGGTATGGTTATGTAATACATTTATGAAGCAGGAGTAAGAGTAGAAGGGACTACAAACATTTATACATACAGTAGAATATCTTTACTAAAAGTGATCATTTTAAATTAACAATCAATTTATCATTATTAAACAGTATTTATAGCTTTTTAATACTGAACAGGAGTGGTTAAATTTCAGTTCTAATTAGAGTATAATATCTATTTACATAGATATTAAAGTATTTTGCCCTATCACTACACACTATAAAATATAATTTAATGCAGTTTTCAGCCTCATAAATGTTTAACTCCTCATTAAATTTTTATTAGAAATGATTTAACAGATATCTTAAAGGAATGAGATTTCTGAAATTGAGAAATGTAATCATTACTATGTATGGCAACTAACCAAGTTTTATGTTTCATGTACACTGTAATGTAAATGTCCTACTTCTTTATTTAAAATCTACCTCTGGACTAAACCACCTTGATTATATCACAAGGAGATACACAAATTCTATCCAGATGGCCCCCAACTTGTAATCAGTTGACAATAAGTTTTTGCATCTTAATGGATTATCACACTGTTACTGCATCACACAGAAGCATAGGTATATGTCCATATCATTCTCATCTTGTAATAATTTAACTTGAGATATCCCTTCCCTGTGATGGGATGTCAGAATGTAGTTGTAACTTAAGCCTGTGAGTCCCTATGTTTTAGTTTTCCTCATTGTTATGATGGAAAGTTGTGACCCATTGTGAACCTTTGAGCATGTGTGCTCCTGTGACCAGGCTATTTTCTGAGAGGATATGTTTCTCTGTAGTCCCATTCACAGCACTATGAAAATATTGCACTCTATGATAATATTTTTGTTATTTGTAATTGATTATGGAGTTTTATTACATTTCATTGTTGACCATATTAAATGGTGAAAATCCTACCTCTGATGTGTTAGTCACCTTTATATTAGTGTAGCTAACTTTCTGAGAAAATCCACTTAAAAAGAGGAAACATTTATTATGGCTTATAGTTCCAGTAGTTTCAGCACAAGTCACTCAGCCCAATCTCTCCAGGTTGTGCTGGTTCAGTAAAGCCTGGTGGAAATGTATGGTGGAGGCTTGTTTACCTTACACCAGTCAGAAAACAAAAGAGAAATAGGAAGGGTCTAAAGTGCCAATCTCCTCTGTAGAGGCACCTGATCACCAATACTAACTTTGACCCATTAAACCTACTTCCTAAAGGTTTGGCCTGAGGCCAATACTGCCACCATTCGGAAAAAAGGTTTGGAACAAAAGCCTTTGTGGAACATTTTAAACCCAAGAAGGGCTTTAAAATTATTTATTTATTTATTTTTATTGGATATTTTATTTACATTTCAGATGTTATCCTTTTACCCTATTTCCCCCCTGCCCAGGAACACCTATCCTAGCCCCCCTCCTCCTGCTTCTATGAGGGTGTGCCCTTACCCACCCAACCACCCCCTCCTCCCCACCCTTGAATTCCCCCACATTGGGGCATCCAGCCTTCATGAGACCAAGGATCTTCTCTCCCACCTATGCCAGACAAGGCCATCCTCCCCTATATATACAACTGGAGCCATGGATCCCTCCCTATGTGCTCCCAGGCTGGTGGTTTAGACCCTGGGAGCTCTGGTTGGTTGGTATTATTACTCTACTCACGGGGTCTCAAACCCTTTCAGCTCCTTCAGTCTTCACTCTAACTCCTCCACTGGGAACACCTTGATCAGTTCAATGGTTAGCTGTGAGCATCTGCCTCTGAATATGTCAGACTCTGGCAGACCTCTAAGGACATGCTATATCAGTCTCCTGTAAGCATGCACTTTCTGACATCCACATAAGTGTCAATCTTTGATGACTGCACATGGGATGGATACGCAGGACAACCCCTCCTTCAGTTTCTGCCCCACATTTTGTCTCCATACTTGCTCCCTTGAGTATTTTGTTACTCCTACTAAGAAGGACTAAGCACACACACTTTGGTCTTACTTCTTCATGAGCTTCATGTGGTCTGTGAGTTGCATCTTGAGTATTTCCAGCTTCTGGGCTAATATCCAATTATTAGTGAGTGAATACATGTGTGTTCTTTTGTGATTAGGTTACCTCACTCAGGATGATATTTTCTAGTTCCATCCATTTACCTAAGAATTTCTCGAATTCATTGATTTAAATAACTGTGTAAACTCCATTGTTTAAATGTACCACATTTTCTGTATCCATTCCTCTGTTGAAGGACGTCTGGGTTCTTTTCAGCTTCTGGCTACTATAAATAAGGCTGCTATGAACGTAGTGGAGCATATGTCCTTGTTGTGGAGCATATGTCCTTGTTGTATGTGGGAGCATCTTCTGGATATATGCCCAGGAGTGGTATAGCTAGGTTCTCAGGTAATGCTATGTTCGATTTTCTGAGGAACCACCAGACTGATTTCCAGAGTAGTTGCACCAGCTTGCAATCCCACCAACAATGGAGGATATTTGATGGCACATTTCTCTTGCTGTGGAGCATCATCTATACTCCATCCCTGTCCTACCTGTTGCTTTGGCAATATGAGACAAGCTACAACCAAAATGGAAAGCAGAACTCTACATGGAGAAAGTTTTTTCCATAAATTGGCCTAGAGGCAAGTCTTTTGGGAACTTTCTTGATTAATGACAGATGGAGTATGTGTCAGCACACTGTAGTGATGACAACTCTAGGAATGTGGAGCTGAGTTGAGTAAAAAACCAGGCTGAAAGCCATGAAGAACAATCCAATTAGTAGAATTCTTCCATGGCTTTTTCCTATGATCCTGCTCTGACTTCACTTTATGACTAAATGTGGCCTGAGAGTCCTAATATGAACCCTCCTTCCAAAGTCTTTTTGGTCATGGTGTGTTTTATCAAAGCAGTAGAATCCTAACAGAAACAGGCCCGTGTCTGCTTACACTCAACTATGTTAATGAATACAGGAAGAGGCTGAAAGACTTTGTGGAAGTGTACCCTGGAACTTGAATATTGTTTTCACTCTGAGTGTGGAAAACACTGCTGGAATTAACTGCCCCTCATTTGGAAACCTTCTGACTTCTCTCACTTATATATTTGATGTCATGTATTCATCTGTTCAGAGTGAAACAAGGAAAGTGAAGATGATGTGGCAGGCAGACAAATTTGACCTCGCCTATGTGAAGGAAATTCAGGCACAAGTGCTGGTGATGCCCTACCAGGGCATGGAGTTGAGTTTCATGGTCCTGCTTCCGGATGAGGGTGTGGACATCAGCAAGGTGAGTAAGGAGATACTGTAGCATTCACCACTCCAAATGTCTTTGAGAATAATCCAGTATTCCTTTTTTGAGTCCTTATTAGAACAGATCTCAGTGTCTTCACCCTGGCAACTCTACTTGAGAGAATAGTACTCACAGACAGATTTCCAAGCTGTGTGCTGGCACATGGCTTTGGGATAAAAGCTGTGTCTAAGACTCTCATCATGGTCTATGTCCCCTTGTCACATGACTTTGTCACTAGAATAAGTGAGGACTACCTAATAGGAGGAAATCAGGGCAACTCAGGCAAAAAGTTAACACATTACTTGGAACATAATCCTGCTCCATAAATATAACCCATATCATGATCTTTGTTGGTATTATATTTTATTATCTGAGAACAGAAAATAGACTTAAACAATATTCCATGTTAACCTAACAATGGAGAAGACAAAGGTTGAAAACTGAGAAGGGTAGAGTCAGGTAAGTCATTGTAACAATGTTGGTCTTCCATGCAGCAGGAAACCCCATAGTCTGTGAGCCATCCTTTGAATTGTGGATAGTAGAATGTGCATGACATGAGGGGTCTTTATGAGCAAAAGAGCTCCTTGGCTCTCAGCATCTAGCTTTCTAACTGTGGCATCACTTCAATAGGGTATGCATTAGTATTTCATCAGCTCTTTTCTTTTCCAGTACTTAATTTTTATTTAAGCAGCAATGATTTGCTATCTTTGAAACTAAGTATAGTTTTAGAAAACAAAGGGAATTAGAAATTAAACAATAATCACCTGGATAGGGACATTTGTCAGAAAAGAAAGAGATATCTCACAAGTGATTTAGGAGAGGACATCAAAATCTTCCTTCCCTGTACTGCTTGTCTGCCATTTCTATCACGGAAACCAGAAACAAGCTACCAGAACAGTGAGATGCCCATACTGTCTGGGCATTTGAAAAGGCAGTGTTTGTATATGACAACAGATGATACTATGATCAGGGATTACTTGTGTGTCTCTGGGTAAGACCTCAACTCTGAATCTAACTGTCTCTAATTCTGAATTGTCAGGTGGAAAACAGTCTCACTTTTGAGAAGTTAACAGCCTGGACCAAACCAGAGTTTATGAATTACACTGAAGTTCATGTTTATCTTCCAAAATTTCAACTGCGAGAGCAGTATGATATGGAAACCCTGTTCCAACATTTGGGAATGGTGGATGTCTTCAATGCGAGCAAGGCTGACTTATCAGGAATGTCTACTGAGGAAGACCTGTGTCTGTCCAAGTGTCTTCACAAGTGTGTGGTAGAGGTCCACGAAAAGGGAACAGAGGCTGCAGCAACCGTGGCTTGCAAAGCTATACCTGTGTGTTTAAGGAATTATACCCCACCAAGTTTCTGTGCTGACCACCCCTTCCTTTTCTTCATCAAGCACAACAAAACCAACAGCATCCTGTTCTGTGGCAGGTTCTCATCGCCTTAAAGACATATTTATTATATGGGGAGAGTCCTCTCTTGGCAACTTCACCACCCTTAAAACTCTGGGAGGAGTGTTATCATTTACTTTATTGTTTAGGAGGTAAAGAAAATCCTTGAAATAGCCTACAAAGTTCTCTAAGGTAACCATAAAAACAAACAAACAAAACAAACAAACAAACAAACAAAACACCACATTCAACCCACAGACAAACCATGCCAACAATATACCATGTCTTTTCCTGGTACCACAACTCTTGTCACCACTCGCCTTAATCTGATTTTATCCTAGTAAATGCTTCTGTGGGTGATAACTACTACTGCCATATCACTGGTATCTGGTCCTTATCCACATCTGAAATTCATTTTCCTTTCTGCACACTACTTATCAGGTATGTGCCCAACATTGTATAAGTTTGTGGACAGGTGCAGATAGTGTGATCCTCTACCAACTAGCCTTTTCTACCTGTTTTCAATTTATTTACTTGTCATAACAACCAGCTTGGGCTACCGTATATTCTCCATGCAGAAGAAATGCTTCTGGGAACTACCATGTTTCTCTACAACAATAATAATTAAATTCTCTGAAGTCCTTAAAAGCATTTCAAAATAAATTTTGTTTTCTCACAACACAATGTGTGCTTTAAACTTTATTTAAATCACTTAGAGGGGTTTTTCTGTTAACTTTTTGCAACTTAGATTCCTTTATAACTTCACCTATGTCTGTTCATCTACGCCATATGGCCCATACTATGCCAGACACAGGAGGCATAAGTATTTTCAATGTGTTAGAGTGTCATAATGAAGACATGGCCCAGAAGATTGGAGAACTTTCTGCTTTTCCAGAGGTACTTGGAAAACTGTTTACCACCCACATGGCTGCTTAACACTTCTTCTAACACAAGTTTCAGAGATGCTGTTGTCCTCTTTAAGCTTGAACAGCTCTCAAATGTACATGGTCCATGTAATCTTACTCAGAATCACTCACACACAAACAAATTTTAAATAAAGAAATTTAAATGAAATCACCCTGACAGTTCCTCAGAAAATTGGAAATAGTTCTACCTGAGGATCCGGCCATACCACTCCTGAGCATATATATATATACCCAACAGATGCTCCAACATATAACAAGGACACTTCACTATGTTCATGGAAGATTTATTTATAATAGCCAGAAGCTAGAAACAACCCACATGTTCCTCAACAGAGGAATGGATACAGAAAATGTGATACATTTACACAATGGAGTACTAGTCAGCTATTAAAAATAATGACTCCATGAAATTTGCAGACAAATAGAAGAAACTAGAAAATATCATTCTGAGTTAGGTAACCCAGTCACAAAATAACACACATAGTATGTACTTACTTATAAGTGGATATTAGGCAAAAAGCTTGAAATACCACAATGCAACCCAAAGACCATATGAAGCTCAAGGAGAAGAAAGACAACAATACTTACGTATGTCCCCTCTTGGGACTATGCCACACTCACCTTCAATCCCTTTTAAGCACTCTACTTTTATTTCATTCTTCCCTCACTCTACCTGTGTAACCACCAATCTTCTGTCCATGTCTATATGGATGCTTCAGTTCTCTTAGAAGGGGGAACAGAATAATCATGGGAGGTACTGGGAGGATGGACCTGCGAGGAAAAGAGAAGAGGGAGGGAAAACGGGGGCAGGATCAGGTGTGGGAGGTGATAGGGGAGAAGTACAGAGGGTCAGGAAATTGAGCAGAGATATGTAGCTGTGGAGGATGGGAAACTGGGAATGGTCACTAGAAAATCCCAGATGCCAGGGAAACAAGAGGTTCCCAGGACCTAACTAAGATGACATTAGCCAAACTACCCAACAAAGGGGAAAGAGAACGTTACAGACCTTATCCAGTGGTTAGTCATGCCCCCTAGTTGAGGGATGGGGCCACCCATGCATCTCAAAAATATTAACCCAGAATTGCTCATGTCTAAAGGAAATGCAAGGAAAAAGAGTGGAGCAGAGAATGAAAGAAAAGGCATCCAGAGACTGTCCCACCTAGGGGACCATCCCATCTGCTGACATCAAACACAGACATTATTGATGATGCCAAGAAGCACTTGCTGACAGGAGCCTGTTATAGCTGTCCCTTGAGAGGCTCTGCAAGAGCCCGACCAATACTGATGTAGATACTTGCATACAACCACTGGACTGAGCACAGGGACCTCAATGGAAGAGTTGGGGGAAGGACTGAAGGAGCTGAAGGGCATTAAAACCCCATAGAAAGAACAACAATAACTACCAGCCAGACACCCTAAAGCTCCCAGGGACTAAACCACTAACCAAATAGTACACAAGGAGGGATCCTTGGCTCCAGCTACATATGTAGCAAAGAATTACCTTATCTGACATTAAAGGTAGGAGAACCCTTGGTCCTGTAGAGGCTGAATGTCTCCGCATAGTGGAATGCTAAGGTGGTGAGACAGTAGTGGGTGGGTAGGGGAGCACCCTCATAGAAGCAGAAGGAAGGGCAGATAAGATAAGGAGTTTGTAGAGGGGAAACCAGGAACAGGGATAACATTTGAAATGAAAATAAATAAAATAACCAATACAAATAAAGGAAACAAAAAATTCTAAATAAAGAGTGACATAGGATTTATTAATGGTTAGATAACACCAATTATTCTAACTTTTTAGCATTTGATTGTATTTATTGTTCTATGAATAACAACAATATATATGTACCCTGTTCATAACATGCTATAGTCACCATTAATATCTTTTTAGCATGCTCTACTTTTATTTTATACTTCCCTCCCTCTGCCTATGTAATCACCAATCTTCTCTCTCTTTCTATAGATTTACCTATTCTGTATATTATATATAAATTTTCTCTGCTTTCTTGATAATTCTCATTAGTACAGATTGAATTTTTCAATGAAGATACACACACACACACAAACACACACACACACACACACAGACACACACACACATTATTACTCAATACATCTACATGAGCTAAGAATCTCATTGCCAAACTTAAGGTCAAAATAAACTGCCCCTATGTTTTCTTCCAAAGCTTTAGTGGCTTGTGGCCATTATATTTACATTACAGATCCACTTTAAATTAAATTTTGTATTTGGTGTGACAAGGTAGAAACCTGAGGGAAAGAACTCGCAGTTATTTTATACATGAGCATACAATTCTTGTCCTAGTATTTATAATTATTTTTGTGTTGAAGAGAAAATATCAATGACCAATGAAAAGGAAAAACAATTCTTCAACTAGTGAGGTAGGGAGAGTTACACATTTACATATGTTGGACAATGCAGTAAAACTAGAAAGCCATGTTAGAAAGCAATAGGAAATGAGAAAGGACAAATTAAGGTTTCTGTAATCCAGGAACCTGAGTGAAGTCTCAGAGGGAGCAGGTAGTTCCTGTCCTGTCTACTTACCTTTGATTCCTAGAACACATTGCAAGTAAGAAGAAAACTCAGTCCAGCCAGTAGTTTCCTGGACTTTACATGCACATGAGGGTACACACACACACACACACACACACACACACACACACACGCACACGCGCATGCACACACACACACAGAGGGGGGAGGGATATAGCTGGGGGAATAAATTGTGTAACTCAGACGATATGAGCCAACAAGTAAATAATCAGAAAACTACCCATCAAAAACTCCATCAATTTAATGTCAGGAAATTATTCTTACCAGGAGAGGGCAGTAAGAAGAGTAATAGTTGGTCCATAGGATCATACACTTGATAAAGCTAATCCAAGACATACTCTGGTAATGATTTCAATTAGGTAACATTTCCTATAAATTTACATGAGAACATGCCAGTGATGTCATCATAAATGTCCACGAAAGAACAGCGATTTTAATGATGGTTGTAGCCAATTTGAAGCAGCAAAGAAAAGGAATCCGGGTATATTTTACACAGGACATAAGGAAATCATAGTGTGTGTGTCAGATGTTAGAAAGGTGTGCTAGTTCCTTTCCTGTCAACTTGACAAGATGCTGAGTCTCACAAGCTGGCCCTTTAAGGCATAGTGTCCTATACAGGATAATTTTTGAAACCATACTTGTCTTTGTTTAAAAAAGTCAACTTTAGTAATCTAGTCAACATTTTTCAGCACACACATTAAGTAGAAACTTTACTCCATTAAAATTTTGGTTTCTCTAATATCATCTGGATTTCTCTGAAAGTAAAATGTCATACAGATTTTACAAAATGCTTAATAGATTGGACAATGATTGTAGAGAGTTGGAATGCTGCAGGAAAAAAAACAAAACTGTGCTGATCTATAACAAATTATTGCCAACCCATAAATCTTTCCATAGACAAAATTTTGTGGACAATTAGACAAACCATTAGATGTCTATTACCTTATCAGACTACTTTCTTTCATCAACCTAATGGCTAAGACAATATAAAATAGCATCCACAATCATAGCACATACCTTTCATTTTGCAGTGGCTCAAATTTCTCCTGTCTCTTCCACTCCCATCACGGTATTTATAAGTTGTATTAATTTGTGGCTTCCTATTTTTCTGTGACTCTTTGACTACAAAACTTTATTTAACCTTTTCTATAGTGACATATACTATTCAGGACATCTAAAATTGTGTTTCTTGGCCACATCTCCTGATATTTAGTTCATAATAAACATTCTTTTATTTCTTTTGGAGGTAAAGCTATGTTTGGCATCAGCACATGTTTCTTTAAGCAGGAAAGTAGGGGGAAATGCTTGTTATCCTAGCACCCTGTCTTATTTTCCATTATGCACATCCCCCCTGTAACAATGCACCTAGCAACCTGCTTACTTAACCTGTGCATACTTCACTCTAAACAATATGCTTAACAGCCCCAGAACTCCTCAAACCCCACATTTCATGAGGATATCTGTACTGTCTCAGAACTGTATTGGTTTTTCTATGCCTACTAACTATCAGACTGATTTCAGCTTAAAATATCAGCTTGCATTCCATTATTGAAGGAAAATC